TATATTTTATTTAATATTTTAGTCATAGAGCTTCAGATTCAATAAATAAGTGAACATAAAAGTGTACATATAGGTAGGTAGGTAAATAAAAGAAGATTAAATAAATAAAATATCTACGCGTTTCCAAGTAGGCAAGCCTACTTCTTTTCCTGCATCAAATTAAACTAGGGTTATTTTAGTTATAATAGTGACATACTATAAATGATTATAAGGCTTTACTATAACATTATTTATTAATGTTTTACAGCTACATTTACTATGTAAGTATTATATATTACAAGAGCTGTCACCTTATCCAATATTCCGATCAAATTGATATTTTGTTATTCGCCACTAAATGTAAATTAGAACGCATACGTAACATTAGGGACCATAAAGTGTGGCCATTATACATGTTTTCCATCACGCTGCCACATCATAACATGATATTTAGTATAATATAATGTAGTGATGTTACCATGGCATTACTAAACACCACCGCGGGCTGTTGGCTAGATATTCAATTTATAATCTTAAAGATACGATAAGGTTAGCTCGCCCGCGGCTGTATCACAAAGGTTAGTTGTACCATGAACCAATAACACATCACATATTAGGCAGCTACCTAGACCTTATTCCGAAGGGATACAGCATGTTTTTAAATATGAAAGTGTCATGGACAGTGTCAGACTGTCAGTCTTTATCAACCGACTTCAAAAAAAGGAGGAGGTTCTCAATTCGACCCGTATGTTTTTATTGTACCTATGGTAATTTTCAATGAGAGCTTTCATGTAACGTATTTTGAATTAACATTAAACAATGTAGATAATTTGACGAGCTTCCTTATAGTGAGTGTAAAGAGGCTTTAATATTGATTAAGTATACCTACCTAGTATAAACGAAGTTGTGAAATTCTCCCTTTCATGCAATGTTTCGATAATAATAATAATAATAATATAATATAAGCCTTTATTACTAGATTACAAAGTATTTTTACAACATTAACATTTCATTTTACAATCTAGTTGCACTCATCTCCAGTTTGTCCTTGGACATAGGCCTCCTCCAATGATCTCCATGCTTCTCTGTTTCTAGCCATTTGTGGCCATAATGGCCCTGCTAATTCGCGGATATCGTCCTCCCATCTTTTCGCTTGTCTGCCTCTGCTTCTTTTTCCTTCACGGGGATACCATTCCGTTACGGCTCTTGTCCATTTCTCTTTCTTTTCCCTCATTAGGTGTCCCGTCCACTTCCATTTCAACTTTCTAATTGTTGCAACAACACTTCTGAATTTGGTTTTTGATTTTATTGTGTTTAGGTTTATCTTGTGTTTAAGTTTCACTCCCAATACACTTCTCTCCATACTATTTTGGCATACTTTTAACTTTTTAAGTTGTTGCTTAGTTAGTGACCAGGTTTGGCAAGCATATGTGAGGCAGGGTAGTATACAGGCATCAAATATTTTCCTTTTGTGGAACATCTTTAGGTTCCCGTTTTTCATTACCTCTGCTAGTGACCAGTATCTCTTCCATGTGTTTGTTATTCGTCTATCTATTTCTTTGCCCATGCATTCTTTGTTGGAAATTAGATGTCCCAAATAGATGTATTCATCTTCATACTCAATTTCTACTTTGTTTACGTGTATTTTCACTTTAGTTGAGTTAGTCATCACTCTTGTCTTTGAGGTGTTCATAAGAAGACCCACTTTGGCACTTACATCACATAATTCTTGTAGCATCTTTTCCAATTGTTGTGGGCAATCTGAGAACACCACAATATCGTCTGCGAAACGTAGGTGTGATAGTAATTCTCCGTTTATGTTAATTCCGCTTTTCTCCCAGTCAAGTTCTCTGATGATCATTTCAAGTACAGCAGAAAAGAGTTTAGGCGAGATCGGATCTCCTTGTCTGACACCTCGAGTTATAGGGAACTCTGGTCCAGTGTTTTCGAGCTGTATTTCTGCTGTACTTTTTGAGTATACTTCTTGTATTAATTTTATGTATTTTTTGTGAACACCTTGTGTCTCCAGTGCTGACCATATTGCTTTGTGTTCTATAGAATCGAATGCCTTGCTGTAGTCAATGAATCCGATATAGTATGATTTATTATATTCTTGAAGTTTCTGTAAGACTTGTTTTACTACATGTATGTGATCTACTGTTGAGAAATCTCTTCGGAATCCTGCCTGCTCTTTAGGTTGGTTTTCATCAAGAGTGTTCGATATTCTGGCTAATATTATTTTTGAGAAGACTTTGTATATATTGGACATTAAGCTTATGGGTCTGTAATTCCCTACATCCCCCCTATTCCCTTTTTTATATAGAAGTATAATCGTTGACTTTGTCCAGTTTGTAGGTATGGTCTCGCTAACTATTATTTCATTAAATAACTTTGTCAGGACTGGAGCTGTTTCGGTGATAGTAGCTTTCAGAATCTCGTTTGTGATATTATCAGGTCCAGGAGATTTTCCATCTTTTTGGGTTAGAATTGCTTTTTCAGCAATTCTAACCCAAAAAGATGGAAAAAAAAATCTCCTGGACCTGATAATATCAGTTATAAATAAAACTTTATAATTTAAAAAGAAAGTTTATGTAANTGTTTCCGATAAGAGGATAGTTAATTAATTATTTACTTTTTATTATGAGTCATTGTCGTATCTTCGACATGTCTTTTGATACGATGTCGTATCAAAAGCTTTCATACTGATATCATGCTTGGTTATTTTTAAATAAAATGTTAAATTCGTAAGAGCCTTAATATACCGAAGTAGGGGGCACTTACCTTACTTATTCAATGTAGGTCTTTCACATTCGTCATACTACTACAATAATAACAAACCTTATAAAAACTGCAATAGAAGTAGCTCTGGATAGAGTGTTGGATTGTTTCGTCCCGACTCTGTCAGTCCCGGGTTAAAGGTAACCCGTAATAATCGACTTTTACGAATGACCATTTGGATCTTAGGGATGAGAAAATGAAGTTAGGAAGGTTTGCTTATTAATACTGTTGTTACTTTTGGAGCCTTCGAGTGCATCATTGCATAGCAAGTGAGGCTCAGCCTCCGAGCACAAAATAGGACTCCGAGATTGGGCAATCACAACAGTTTCCGTTTGACACTTATACAGGGTGTCCCAGAATGGGTGAATCAAACTGATAGGGGAGGTAGCTCTACTAACGTACTACCCCTAAAAAATATGAAAAAAATAATTAAGTTCGGATTTTTTTTTAAATAATGTGCTCTCGAACTCGAACTCGAAATCTAGTCATTATTTTCAAAAGTTTGCTTACAGATAAATGAAGCGATCATGTACAATTAATATTATTATTTTTAAAAGTTTGTTTACAGATAAACGAAGCAATCATGTACAAGTAAGAAAAAAGTACAAATAAACTCCAAACGCAGCAATTATAGCCAGATACTTATGCAAAGCTGATTTATTATTTTCACTTTTAAAAAAAAAATTGTGTCTCTATGCGCTTTATTTTTTTTTTCATATTTTTAGGGATAGTACATTAGTAGAGCTACCTCCCCTATCAGTTTGATTGACCCATTTTAGGACACCCTGTATACCAACTTTCAGTGGGTGTATTTGGAATGTGGAATAGAACCAGCAACAACTGCTCTTAATCCAGATAAAAAAAGTAGTTTTTTTCTAGTCCAGTAGTGGGCCAACATTGAAGACTCTTTCAACGCTATTTTACCTAATGGAAAACTATTTACCTCGCAATACCAAGTAATTTAAATAAAAGCTTTAATACGATAATTGATAGATACTAACTAGAGTGATTTGTATTAAATAAGTATCACATCGCTTGTTGCGTAGGCGGCTTAATACAACTAGTATAAGAAAGCAAAAATATACCTATTCGCCCTTATTAATAAAAAGTTAGGTACGCGTTTGGATAAAAATTGAAAGCTCATTATTATAAGGTTAAAAATTGAACCTTAAGTATTTTTAGAGCATCCCAAAGGATGCTGGACCAAAGTTTACAAACAGTTTGTTTTTGTATTATTTTTAAGCAAATTATACCATACCTTGATTTATATTAATACAGAACACCAAACGAGGTCAAAGGACACTGCCCAACTACCCTACATGTGTCTCCCGATATTTATCTGACGCTTTTTTTTTCGGGGAAAAAATGCATTAAATTGCATCTACCCTGCAGGGACAATGGACATGGTAGGTTATGTGAGGCTCCCCTCATCAGAAGGATAACATCTGGCATACCCATCGCCTTGGTGGGAAGAACTATGGGAATCCGGACAAAGCCTTCAACTACCACAGATGAATATGACCCTTACCTAAGTTGCTACTCTGTGTACATACAGGGTGTCCCAAGCAAAGCATCACTAGGGCTATCCGAATCACCACCATGTATATTCCGTGATATGACTCGCAGAAACACGCAGAAATAACAATTATCAAAACGTCACAATATTTTTAACTGTAATAAATGAGTAAATAGTAAATAGCATTGCTTGGCTTATTAGGTAAACCTTCTGTATTTTTTCACGTGTGCAAAGCAAATACATTCGTTTTTTACCAAAAAATCGTTAATAAATGCTTTTAGGGTTCCGTATTTGGATATTAGATATGCCTATAATGTAGTGTAGATTAGATAGCGTAGGACACATAGGCTACAGTTAGCAATCGGGACTCCTAAATGAATGGTCTGATTTTGATGCAGTTTGTCTATTTCTTTACGAGATAGATGGAAAATCTTCTGCGGTTTTTAGTTTGAAAGGCGATACAATCAAGATGGCTCCTAGCTTATAATTTTTGCTGGTTAAAAGACGAAATTAATTTCCAAGCTTTTCAATATTCAAATAATTAATTGAATATTTTTATCCTCGTGCATTTCTATTGGAAAGTTCTTCTCTATAATATTCTAAGCTATTATCATCAGTTGTCCTTCAACATGCATATTTAATGGTCAATCAGAGACATTATGTATTTATAACAATTAGTAGGTAGGTACCTACATTTTACTCGCGGAACAGTCCATTACTAGGGAAAGCTATAACCACATCAGTCGTATAATAAAAATTTAATTATTTCATCAAACAAAATGCAGTGAGTAATCGAAGTCCTTAATTTAATCTAATTGTAACCTTACCTGATTTTGCAAGTTTTCTGTCGGATTCTTCATGTTCTATGCATAAGTATTTCCTAAGTTACTGATATAAAACACCTTATTTGGCTTGACATAGTACCTACTTAAGTATGTACTTGTACACAGCCTAGGAAATATTAAATCATGAAATTATTTACATCCCCTGCATAGGTATAGATACTTGTGTTTGTACGTTTCCTCACAATAAATCCTGCTAATCCTATTAATAGATACCTACAGCTCAAGTTTAATAGGGTGACAAATATATCTCCTAAAAATAAAAAAGTGGACGGTTAGGAGCTTACTTAAAATGTGTATTTTTACTTATCACATTACATAGTATAATGTAATTAAGTTGTTTGTAATAATCTAAAAAACGACCCATAAGTTTACTGAATAAATTTTTACAGACAGGAATCGCCATTACAACTCGGCTACATAAAAACCATAAGATTTTTTTTGAGACCATCAGGATCATGGCCATCTGATGTCTTCGAAGGGTACTTGCCTTTGCCCATACGAATCCATAGGGCAACTTTACCATTCCATACCACCATCATAGTGATGGGGGGGTTGTATTACATAACTGATAATTTTCATCGGTTGAGTTTTCTCGACATGGGACATATGATTATAACTACGTTTTTGGCAATGGTTACAGCTGTAAGTATATTTGAATCGAATACTTTTAAATTACGATCAAATATCTGCCTTGTTCTGCATAAAAAAAATATATCGATAGTGATTTCCCTCCATTTTGCTACATTTTGTACAAAATAAGACTTAATATTTATCGACTTTAAGCTCCAAAATAATTTCAGGATGAACTTACAACTTTTTTTACGTTTGTTTTCATTTCAGCTTAGAAGTATTCTACCAAACTTGCAGACATACAATTCATTGCTATGTAAATTCATACAGGAATTTCATTTGATGCACCACGCTTATAAAGGCGACTATTTTGAAGAGGTTAGTCCTTGTGGAATACATAAGTAGTTATGTTCATGATTATAAAAAAAATCAGGAAACATTATGTACATTTTAGGGTTCCGTAGTCCTGACAAGGAACCCTTATAGTTTCGTCATGTCCGTCTGTCTGTCCGTCCGAAGTTTAACTTGGAAACTATTGGCACTAAAGAGCTGTAATTTATATTAATCACAAACCGACAAAGTGATAGAAAAAAATTTTTACTATAGCCTACACACCTAAAGTGGGGATGATTTTTTTTTTCATCTTCTACCCCATCGTTTGCAAAATATGTTTAAAGTGGCAATTTTTGTTCGAGTAGAGTGCCCCCACTCCCCTTAAAATTTCATACCTCATAAAAATTCTTTAGAAGTGATAATAAAAGTGACTTTAGATGAAGGTAATTGCTTGCTTCTGAACGACGGACAACTACGGAACCCTATACTGCGCGTGTCACGACACGCACTTGGCCCCTTCCTCGCCTCACGTCCGCACCATAAGAAAGAAAAAAAGAAAAAGTATTTATTCGATGCAAGTACAAAATAAAATAAGACCCAAACATTATTAATTTATAACAACAATCGTCCCCAAAAACACGACCACATACGAGTAACATAGCTTTACCTCCTTTTTGCCTTTTTACAAGTTGTTAAAATGGAGATCACCGTATGTCAGACTAAGGGCAGTTGGCACCACCTATCTTTAACGGTAACTATGACAATAACCGGTGCTTTTTGTATGGAATTTGACAGATTTTTGAAGTTTGTCAAAGTTAAAGTAAGATGGTGCAACCCAGCCTAAGGGTGGATACGAACAAATAAGAGTAAATTTTAATCTCAGAATAAATCTTCAGTTTTGACATATTTCCCATACTGAAAGTCTTGAGGCCCAGAACAGACGGTGCAACGCAACTGCAACGAAACTGCAACTTCTAGTTACTTTTGAGTTGCATCTAAGTTTCTGCCATAGCGTCCGATGAGAGACCACACATGACGCGACCAGTTTGAAACTTTCAACTTAGATGCAACTCAAAAGTAGGTAACTAGGAGTTGCAGTTTCTTTACAGTTGCGTTTCACCGTCTGTTCTGGGCCTCAATGTGCCAGTTATACCAGGAGTTATTCTCGTATAAAAGTTTGGTCGAATCAGGCCTAAGTACCTAATATTACTTAATATTTTATTAACAATTTTCAAGAACACAATGTTTGGCATCTTGACATTGTCTGGAAGATGTATTGAAGATCTCTACATTTTCAATAGATTTTATTTAGGGTCATTCACATCAACACAATCAAGTCACACTAGTCTACCTTTGTTAGTCTGAAAAACCACTATATTTTGAACGAAGGATGGGCACGAACTGTAATTAAATAATTATTTCCAGGTGAACAAAACTGTTGACAAGATCTCATCTTATTGCACAAAGTTTAGCACAATAATAATGTATTTAGCAATATTGTTCTTCAATATCACTCCAACGTACAACAACATAAGACATACCTTGATATCAAAGACTGAAAATTATTCCATGGAATATTCTGTATATTTTAGTTTTCCTGGATTCAACCCGCTCGACCACTTTGCAAGTACTACCGTTTATAATATCTACTTATCATACAACTGCTCAACATTGTTTTGTGGGTTTGATTTGTTATTGTTTTTGATGATATTTCAAATAATTGGGCACGTGTACATTCTGAGACACAATCTCGAGAATTTTCAGTCACCTAAGAATAAAATTACTCTCAATTTACGGGGAGATGCATTGATTACAAATAACACGTGCACTTATGAAGTATTTGACGCACAAGAAAATGAAGAAGTGCGCCTTCAACTGGCGGAGTGCATAGAACACCACAAAATAATAATTGGGTATGTAATTTTTGATTACTTATTGATATCAAAATCACTTTAAACAAGTAGTAATATTATGATACGGTCTGCGAAGTCATCATCTGTCTTTGAATCAGGTAAATACCTACTTAATTAACTCTACCATAGAACAAAATATTTGTTAATTAAAATCCTTTAGAGAATCCATCAAATCAAGGGAAATTTAAATGAGTAGGTACCTACCTAACGTCAAATTCGAATACAGGATTCTTTTATAATCGTTAACATCTTTGATATCACCAGACCGAATAGCAATCAAATCACTATGTAAAACTTATTCTTAATATAATAGCGCCGAATCTTTTTTTAATAAATTAATTGATGAGTGCAAGATTATAATTTTTAAATTACGGCTGATTTTTCAATCGTCGGATAACTTTTAACTGAAGAATAAAATGGGGATGTTGCCTGGGTCAAAAAGCAAGAGTTTTAATTAGTCCGTCAGTTAACTTATCAAAAAATACTCTACACGTATTTTTCACTTTTTCAAANTGTTTCTGATAAGAGGATAGGTGGTATCGATTCATCGTTAAAGTTGTTACAATTTAAGTTTTTTGGTTGGTATTCGTTGTTGCCGTCCATGCCTGTGTAAAGTGTTTTGTAGAACTCTGTTGCAATGTCGAGAATTGCCTTCCTGTTCCCTGTGCATATTCCCTGTTTGTTCTTTAGATTTGGCATCCATTCTGTTTTGTCTGACAGCTTCTTATAAGCCTTCTTTATTCCTCCTGTTTTTTCAATATGATATTTGATGACATCGTTTCTTCTTACTTTGTTATCCTTCTTTATATTTTCATTGATTTTCTTGCTTATTTCCGTGATTTGTTTTGTATTAGATTTTTTATCCTTCAGTAGTTCTTTCCGTTGTTGTAGTAAATCTTGGGTGTGTGTAGATATCCTTTTTTCTTTTGGCATTGATTTGGTTCTGTCGATCTCGTTTTTTAAGGTAGTTGTGAATTTATTGTAGATTTCTTCTATATTCTTACTGTTGGATTTATCCATCTCGTTTTCCAGTGCGTTTTTGAAATTTATCGTGAAGGTTTCCAGATTTTTATTGGTGATGTATGATTCAGGTCTCTTACTATAGGTTTTTCTTGTTTTCTTTACTGGGTTTCCTTCCAATATTGCACGAACCATTCTATGGTCTGTATTGAAGTTCAGGTTATTTATTACAGTAACATCCTTGATCCTATCTTTTTTATTTGTCATTATATAGTCTATTTCGTTCGTGTATCTTCCACAAGGTGAGATCCAGGTCCATTTCCTTGAATTTCTTTTTTTGAAAAAACTGTTCATAACGGACAGTTTATNAGCAATTCTAACCCAAAAAGATGGAAAAAAAAATCTCCTGGACCTGATAATATCAGTTATAAATAAAACTTTATAATTTAAAAAGAAAGTTTATGTAATTTGCTTACCACAATATTAGAGTGTTGTTTCTTCTTTTTAGACGGTTGTTCAGGATTCATTGAATCAACTAATTCACCAATTGTAGCTTCCACACTAGTGCCAGTCAAGCCAACATCAGCAGCTTCTCCAAATAAATAAACTGATGTACTATCAATATGGAATGACACTTGGCCTGATGCTATCTGAGAAATATTACAAATAAAAAATTAGGTCAGTGCTGAACCGTAAGATGAATGTCAGTTATTACCGAAAACTGGTAAAAGCTAGGTTTGTCCCATTTGTCTCCAGAGAAAAGGAGTGCTTAAAACACATTATGTTAAATTGATTTTAACTAGGATGCTTTCTCAACTTGTAAATCCAGTCTTGTTATATTATACTTTTGACAGTTTAGCATTTTACCAGACTTTAGTTACCATTTGCTTACCTTTTTCCTTTTACTTTGCAGAATATTTTTCACCCCTGTTATAGTTGCTTCACAACTCAGAGGCAGAATAGTATTCAGGCGCACATGAAGGAATTGCTTCCACAAGTCACTGGCTTCCAGAACTTCATATTTGGTTTCCTCAAACTTATCATGGACCAAAAAGTGTGCTTTCATTTCTTTCTTCTCATTTATTATGATCACCAATGGGTTATCAGTTATATCCACATCCTGCAATCAAACGCAATCCAGTTAATATATGATTCTTTTAATAATTTAGTTGGTTGTTGAGACTTTTTTTACTGTAAACTCAAAGCTCATTCACTTACCTGGAGGATTTCTCTTAATTTCGACTCCATCGTCAAGGGTTCTCCAAATTTTATAACACCACATAGTTCTATCTCAGCTGGAAGGTTCAGTAACAGTTGATTGTATGTGTTTTTCTCAGATTCAAACGATTCTATGCTCAATCCTACGACGAGTAAAGTGCCATCGTACATAAGCCCGTAGAGACATCCTATGGTTTCATCAGCGTTAATCTTAGATAGCCTCTGAAAATGAGATGGGAAGGCCCACAAATTATTACAATAATCTAGGATTTTACTAAAATAAACGTGAATTTAGAGCACAAAACATGACATTTAAGGTTAGTGACATTCTAACACTTGGAGATGGAAAGTTGACTTTTTAATAACTTCAGTGCAAATTGTATGTTGAAATTCAATAAAATTGTACATTTTAATGGAGAGAGGAGTATTTAAATTACAAAGTTTACCTCAACAACATAGCTCGATATTTTGAGACGTGGTGACATTTTATATGAGTGTTGCCATAATAAAATTTAAGCACAGATTAAAATAAATTGTTTAGTTGCCATATTTAATAATTAGGTCATTAGTTACTATGACTAAAAAATAGTTATCAACTTTTTACTTTGATCAAGTGTTTTTTTTTATTCAACTATTTTTTTTGTGGAGACGCTATCGTTAAGCAGTAAGCCCTAAGGATTTGTGAAACTTTCATAAAAGTTATAAAAAATGTAATTAAAATCATAACAAATTGCAAATACTATGTTCGCTTAGTATACTAGGGTAGTATTGTATGAATCGATGTTTTTAAGAGCCTCAGGTAGGCTGGTTAAGCTCAATCACTTGGTTGTCTTTCCAGAGAGTAGGTATTATTTTAGATTTTAGCTGATTAACAGTGGGATAAAAGTTCTAATAAAAACACCACTGTGTACTGAAGTAGTTTCTCCTTTATTTATTAGACAGACTTTCTTCATTGCTTATACATGAATTTATAACATTTTCTACTAGATTAGCCTTTTCTTTAGCAATCTTTAATATTTCTTCCTGATTTTCCATTAAAAGGTGACTGCCACCAAATGTATGATTCCCACATAACAGCCCTTTATTCACACATACAGTCAAGTTTGCACCAGCTCCTCCACACATTTCTTCTTCATATGATGAGGGATCTGTTAGTAATATATTCCTGAAAAAAATATATTTAATTAGATTTTATAGCTCCTCTCTTACTTTAGAAGATACTCTCATAATAATAAAGAGAAATTAATGGATGTTGCTATAATGGACACAAATCAAAAGAATTTGTGACACTGAGAGGGCAAATATACCAAGCTTAAATGGTTTAATTTATTTTAATAAAGATGTACTTCATACTTCTCTTGGAGTTTGTAAACAGCAAAACTTGTGGCAACAGGCATTCCGTGAACCTTAAGTGGTGTTCTAACAGTTGAGTCAACTTTAATGTCTTCTGTCTCAGCATCGTAAGTGACAGCTGGTAAGCTTACTGAAATTCAAAATAATGGTTTAGTAAAGTTTGAAAAACTAAAGGTAACATGTTCCAAAAAATTTATAATAATAAATTATTGTACTTACATGTTCTTAAGCTGGCCATAAGTGCTATAATGCAAGTATCCACTAAACTTCCATCATTGTCCAAGCAAACTATATCACAATACACTACCCAGGCCAATTTATCAGGAACAATACATAAATCTTTTAAATCTACACATTTTGAATTGACAAATATATCTGAGAGCATATAACTTTGCACCTGTGCATGATCAGAAGGAGGGCCTGGTCTGTATTTAGACGAGCACAGCGGTGGAAGCTCTACATTTGTTACTAGGAAACCTAATTCAGGCTCTTCTGCCTTTGGTGCAGCCAGTTCCTAAAATAAAGCATAATATTATAATATTTATTTAGAAGTATATAACTACGAATACTTTAACTTAAACATACCAATTGAATACCGCACACTACAGTCGTGTTCCCACATTTAACCACTGCTGATGCTTCGGCACATTTCAGAGAATTCACGTTTACTTTGATGTTTCGCTGTTCATGAAACTTTCTTCCATCTGGCCGAATTTCTCTTGAAATATAGTCGGTGAAATACTTCACCGGATGTATTAATCTGCAAATATTAATAGGAATCAGTACCAACAATCAATTTATCTATTACCTATAAAGATTTAAGACTTACTTGTAAATTTCAGCCATGATAATCAACTGAAATTGATAACCAATTAGAATAGCATTTATTTGAACTGTAAAATTCGAGTATTTGTTGTTTATTTAAATTTTTGTTACAAACTGGAGTTTTTGTACACAGAAACCTAACCTCACTTTTACGATTTTGACATTGACATTACGTGCTGCATTGACTTTTTTTTTAATGAACCAAAGATAATATAACACCATAATAAAGCAAGCGCTCTCTGAATGAATGTGCTACTAAACTGAATGTGCTACTAAAGAAAGCTAAGCGGAGCGAAGACAAGACATGTAAATATACAGGGTGTTTGGCGCATCGTGTGCCAAAATGATTTGGCGGATAGAATGGGTCATTTCCTATATTTTCAGCCCCCATAACACGTTCCATGTCAGGCGGCTACTTTTATATTAAGTTTTTTAGTAATTTCACCAAAATACCCAAATCGCATCATTTAATTTCGATTTAAAAAAAGACTACTACGCGTAGCTTCAAAGTAAATATTTTGTTTTGACGTGCATTGATATAGGGTTGCATCAAATCTAAATTTACTGGCAAATATCATCTAGTTTTTTTTAAATTCAGCTTTGAACTTTTCCGAAAAGTTAAAAATGGACTGAACATTTAAGTTTACATGGCTATAATTTTTTTTTTAAAAGAGATAGCGATCTTCGGATTTTATCAAAACTTCTCTAGTCTATCCCCATTCAAACGGTATACTAATCTTGTTTAAATAATAACAACAACTTCACAAATTCCCTAAATTAGTGCATTGACTCTATTCGGACTGATTTGCGAAATTTGTGTTTATAGCCCCTTTTTGTGTGAATAACACGTTAAATACCTACAGGTAAAAAATATTTATCTTATGCAATGTAAAAAACCTTTTCTCTATCGTTTTTCAATGTAGATTTCTTGAAATTAAAGACGAAAATAATTATTTTGATCGTTTATTAATTATTACAAATTTTGTTCAAAATGTCCGCCTCGGCAACGTATACACTAAGTAACGACATCTTCTTCTAATTTAGACTGGCCCTATACAGTGGCCTGCACGTTCCCCAGACCTAACTCCGTTAGATTTTTACGTCTGGGGACGAGGTAATGAACTGGTGTACGTAACGGAAGTTCAAACATTAGAAGAACTACAACAACGAATAGAAAACGCCTTTATAGTAATAAAAAGAGAAATGAGGCTGCATACGACAACAGTCGAAGATGTCGTGAGTGTATACGTTGCCGAGGCGGACATTTTGAACAAAATTTGTAATAATTAATAAACGATCAAAATAATTATTTTCGTCTTTAATTTCAAGAAATCCACGTTGAAAAACGATAGGGAAAAAGTTTTTACATTGCATAAGATAAATATTTTTACCTGTAGGTATTTAACGTGTTATTCACACAAAAAGGGGCTATAAACACAAATTTCGCAAATCAGTCCGAATAGAGTCAATGCACTAATTTAGGGAATTTGTGAAGTTGTTGTTATTATTTAAACAAGATTAGTATACCGTTTGAATGGGGATAGACTAGAGAAGTTTTGATAAAATCCGAAGATCGCTATCTCTTTTAAAAAAAAATTTATAGCCATGTAAACTTAAATGTTCAGTCCATTTTTAACTTTTCGGAAAAGTTCAAAGCTGAATTAAAAAAAAACTAGATGATATTTGCCAGTAAATTTAGATTTGATGCAACCCTATATCAATGCACGTCAAAACAAAATATTTACTTTGAGGCTACGCTTAGTAGTTTTTTTTTAAATCGAAATTAAATGATGCGATTTGGGTATTTTGGTGAAATTACTAAAAAACTTAATATAAAAGTAGCCGCCTGACATGGAACGTGTTATGGGGGGTGAAAATATAGGAAATGACCCATTCTATCCGCCAAATCATTTTGGCACACGATGCGCCAAACACCCTGTATTTAAAGAAATTCTATGGTTGAAGAAGCACGTTTTGTCTCCGTTCACGTCGTCCTTGCATTGTTCTAAATAAAATGTATTACAAAAAAAATTGAACGAAAGAGGTCGTATATGAAATTTTCCACACCCTACAGATGTGAATGTAGTTTTATGAATGAATGCTTCTCGATTCTGACATCTGACAGTGACGTAAAGAATTTGACATTTCTTTTTGTGTCGGTTTTCGTAGACGAAACCCAAGGTGTGTTATTTTTCTGAAAATATCTGAATTAATCCGTGTAATATTCGACATAACTGTGAATTTTATTTGAAATATAAATGTGAATTTATCAAGTACACCCGAAGCTTAGCTTATTTTAACTCTCGCGCTGGTAATTTCAGATCACAATGGCTAAACCGAAGGGAGAGAGGAAAGGTAAATCCGCGATCAACGAAGTTGTAACGCGAGAATACACAGTGAATCTTCATAAAAGGCTCCATGGAGTTGGTTTTAAGAAACGCGCTCCACGAGCAATTAAAGAGATCCGCAAGTTCGCTGAAAAACAAATGGGAACCCCTGATGTCCGAGTAGACACTCGGCTAAACAAGTACCTCTGGTCCAAGGGTGTAAGGTAAATGCTCATTAAGTTTTACTATAAAAGTCTGAGATCAATTACATTATTGTTATTAGACAAACAAATGAAACAGTTACTGAATAACCTAAAATATCATTGGTGTTTTGAGGTTATGTTGTTGTTCTAAAAATGCCTAGACCTCTGTCCCAAGAAACTACTTTGAACTGGCATTCAAGTTTTGTAATTTCTAAAAGCTAGTGCAAGGATATTCATAATTAATATACTCTGCATTGAGTTATATTGATTACTGTTTATATTTGGTTAGTCAGTTGTTATTATTCTACCAACTAGTTTTCCAAAGACATTTTAGTTGCTTATCGCCTAATCTCTGTATGAATACAAAATGATTGTATGTATTACAGTTACTGTGTAAAAATATTGTAAATAACTTTTTAAGTCATAGAAGTTGAGTTTCTATGATTTTGATTGACTAAATTGCTATATTAGTAACTCCTGTCAGTTCTCAACCATGATATTTTACTGATTCTATCATCTAATAACTTTTTATTTATAAATTCATCTTTTCTGATTATCATGGTAGGAAAATTCCAATTGATTGATGCTAAATGCCAATAGGTCAAAACTATAATGAGTGTCTGTTTAAAACATTTGTTTCACTATTTGGTTTGTTTATTTCGTTTTTTCGTGATACTTGTAATAATTTTTTTATACTATATTATATGCATAATAATTTTTCTATAGTTAGGACTAGGTAGTATTGGTAGTTTATTAATTATGCATGCATTATTTTAGAATATATCCCGTTAGTTCTGTGGTGTCTTTCAAATGTACATTTGAGTGTTTGCTAAAGCATATTTTGTATTTGTTTTTCAGAAACGTCCCATTCCGTGTCAGAGTCCGCCTTTCACGCAGACGCAATGATGACGAAGACTCAGCACACAAACTGTTCACATTGGTGACGTACGTCCCAGTGGCCTCCATCAAGGGTTTGCAGACAGAGAATGTTGACGCTAGCCAAGAATAAACAATAAGTTTAGCATAATTTCTGACTTTTATTTACCACTGATAAATTCTTATTTTAATCAGAGTATGATAATTATGTAGACTTGCTTAGTAGAATTCACGAGTATGAGTTATACAAAACTCAAAAGAACTATGTTGGCCTTTTAAATTAAATTTATAAATGTAAAAGGGTTTCAATACAAACCCAACTTTTAGAGACATCCAGTGATGGACTAGGGATATAAAAAGATCTACATACTACCATACCTAAAGTACCTACCTACTTATTATTTTTAACACTTGTACCCGGAGCACGAATAAATATAGTTTTCGTTACAGTTGCTAAGGACAAAATACGATTACGAGAGTTATTCGTGCTCAGGGTACAGATACCTATTATTTTCTAATTAGGATGAAATGTAACTGACTCAAGTCAAGGCTCTACATTTTTGTTGGTTTTTTAAAGTCCTTTCATTTGTAAGTTTTTGGCAGCCCAATTTAAAACCGGGAGATAAGTAGCTAGTGCATAGTGGTGGGCGGAGAGCCGTATACTTTTCCGGTCATCATTGAGACTAGATCAGTCTGAAGTAAGGTACTTGTTCTTTTTAATGGCTACCTATGTCTAAATTGTATATTGACTGCCGCCGCCAAGGAGTAATCGACCGTACCGGACCGACATTTTTAAACTAATAAAAGAAAAAGATTTAGTTTTTAATAAAGTTAGAAAAATACGTTATACGACGTTGTAATTTGTTATCGAACCCAAAAAATCGTAAGTAAATAATATATTATGATCACAATCAACAATTTTTTTATTAATTCTTTTAATGCCTTATCATAATATTAGTCTAGTATGTACATTATGTAAAACTAAAGCATTCTCGGCTAACTTTCGGGCTAAACAGAAAAAATAATTTGGCGCCGATTTTGTACCTATTCGAAATAGCACTAATTTATAAATAACTAGTAAACGTAATATCGGAAAAAAAGTAATCTGATAGGTACTTAGTAGGTAATTACGCTCATCTACCTAGATGATATTTTGGTACATCTTTTCTACGAGTTTCGTGCCGACACAGTATCCCTGTTGATAAAGCTAATGTCCTAACCGTATCCCATTTATATGGCTGGACGTGTAGTAAGTGGCTCATCTAAATCCAAGGGATTGAGTAATCAGCAGTTCCAATCTGATGAAGTCAGGATAGCGTGAAGACGACGGGCATTACTTCGTAGAGGAAATGAGCTCCCGTATAACCCACTATTGGCGTACATTACTACTGCTATACAATCAAACGCCGAGTGACCCACCTCTTTATCTAATTTAATTTAAGTACTCACGCACCTACATACTATTTATGAAAGCTTGTCTATTTGGTAGTTCTAAGAAATACCTACTATAGCGATTAAATAACAGGGTTGCTTACGCTGTATGTAGATACTAGCTTTTGCCCGCGGCTTCACCCGCGTGAAGTTTAGTTTGTCACAGATCGTCATAAATTTTAGCCTATATGTTATTCTGGGTTATAAACAATAATACTGTAAAGTTTCATCAAAATCCGTTCTGTAGTTTTTGCGTGAAAGAGTAACAAACATCCAGTCATCCACACAAACTTTCGCATTTATATTATTA